GGGGCAGGCATGTCTGTAAGTGGTGTCTTGCAACAGGGAAGATGGTGACAGTCAGCCTTATTTTACAGCAAGCACAGCCCTGCAAAACCTTCTGCAGTGCAGAAAAAGATGCGTAGTGCTCTGCCTGGCTTTCACTAGAGATTTAGCCTTACGTGACCTCACTGAAGTCATTGAAACTGTGCAGAGGAGAGCCTGCTTCTTATTTGCTTTGACTTTGTAGTATGATAGCAGGTGGAAAGCTGGCAGGCAGAAGAAAAAAAAAAAACACCAAACCAAAAAACAAAACACCCAAGTGTTTGGGTTTTGTGATGGGAGGAGAGCAGCAAAGGGAGGGAAGGAGCAGGTTGCCGAGATTGAGTAGCGGGAGAAAATGTGTGTGGGAGCTGAGCTGGAGGCTATTGATTGACAGCCAGGTCTTAACATCAGCTGCATAAAAGGAAATCGAAGAGACTGCCCAAATATTACCAGGATGAAAGGCAGGATAAATAGCACAGAGATGAATGCCGGGCTGGTCTGCCCTTCTGGAAGGGCAGCAGGTCTCTGCTTTTAACTTGGCATAGGAATTGCATAGCCCCATGCTGCGCTCTCCTCTGCACCAGTGTGTGCTTGTGTGCTGAGTTTGACAGCAGGATTTGGGGGGAAAATTGCACTCCTCTGTGGGGAAAGCATGTGAAGTATCTTGGATGCTTCCATACATTCAAAGCCTGGGATCTGAGATCTGTGCCAGATTTGCCTTTCTCCAGAAGAAGGAGGAAAAAAAAAAAAAAAAAAAAAGTGAAAATGCTTAAATCCTTTTCTGATTTTACATCTCTGTGCCAGCAGATACCTGATTAACAAGCATATCTTGCAGAGCTCAGAGTGGTGGGGTGGGAAATTAAATGGGAGAGGATGAAGCTTCTTGTACCCAGGGAGCCTGTGAAATAAGTAGAGGGAACAGAGGCAGGTTGCATAGTCCTTGGAGGGAGAGAGTCATGCTGGGCAGCTTCCAGATAAGTTTTCGCAGCCCGCTTGCTTGATGCTTTTTTAAGCCCCCTTTCCCTCTTAAGACTCCTAGGATTTTGCTAGATGCCTGTTTCTCTTTCAGCAGTGCTAGGATGTGCAGAATTAGGAAAGAGGCTTGACAGTTCTACACCATCTTTAATGGCTGCTAAAGAGTGAGTCAGTTACTGAAGACCAGTATCAAAAATCGTCCTTGCAAAAAACTCTCCAATCCAAATAAACAAAAGCCCTGAAATTTTCATCCCCCCCGTCAGTATTTGGTTTTGGGGCAGCAGCCTTTCACTGTGCTGTAGTAGCAAATTGCAGTCCTGGAATCCTGGAGATTAGAAACAAGCCTGAGTAGCAGACAGCTGGTGAATGTCTTTTAAAATTGTCTGTTTAACCCAAGGCTGCTCCACTGAATGCTTTTCTAGTTCTTATAATTTTAGTTAGATGTGTGATATCTTTGGCCTTTCTATAGGCAAACAGCCTGCATGAATTGCATGTTTCCTATTGATGGAGCAGAGTGCAGTCTTTAGCTTCTGTTAACTCACCAGCAGTAGTGTACTGGAAATTTCTGATTCAGAAATAGGTCTTCTATAAATGATTTAACATCAGGCTGTTGAAATGCATTTGTGTTTTTCTTCTTAGTGCTATTAAAGACAAAGAAAACATTTAGCACCAAATTAATGGTTGCGTTTTTGTTTTAATCCTGCAGATGGGGTTGATTTATATCTCAAAAATATGTGCTGCAGAGAGAAATTATAATATTACACAGTTTTTCAGTTGTACTTAATTTTTTTTAATGCCAGTCTTTTCAGCTAGATGCTGTCTCTTTAATGTGGTGAGTTTTCTTTTTCAATAACCATAAGGTGCTGCATTTCACCCTCTAGTTTGTATTCCTTTGTTGGTTGAAATACTTGTCTGAAGTCTAGAGTGCCTGGGAAGCTGGGACCAGGCAGAAGGTGCAGAGGCTCTTACCTCCATCCCCTTCTCGTGGAGGGATGTAAAAGCAGAAGCGTGGCAGGCTGCCTGCAGTCCCTGGGGGGAGGCAGACCCCGCTGAAGAGAAAGAAATGGTACACTTCTACATGCAGATAGGAGAGAAGATGGGATTAAATGACAGAGCAGAGATTTTGCACAGTAGTGGCCGCTCTGATAAAATCTGGTTGTTTTTTCCTTGAGGATTATACAGAGATAAGCAGCTTTAGCTCATTAGCACCTCCCTTTCCTCTTGCTCTCTGATGATGGCTTTAGGTTTGATGGCAGGTGGTGATGGCAGGACTTGCTGTGATCCGGGGTGCAGTGCTTGGAAGTGCAGCACATCCTGAAGCCTGAGATGTTAGGTCATGTGCCATTTCTTGCAGCTGAGATTAGACTCTAGCTCAGTTGATGTATTTATGCTTGGACCTTCCTCTTCATGGTGTTTAGTGCTCTCCGTGGATGAAAGCAATCATTGGAATCATTGGATTTAGTTTTTGAAAAAAATGAGCTTTCTTATACTCACACTAACACAACTCCTGGAGGAGTAATGGAAATGAGCTTAACTTCATAACTCTGGAGAGCATGATGGTTGAGTCTTTGAAAATTGATCTGGCAAGTATTAAAAAAAGAGAAGTGATGTTTTTTGATATGCCTTCAAGTTAGGTCACTAATGATATTACAGCAACATCACAGTCACTGCAAACATCAGTTCTCTGAAAGAAATACACATTAGATGCTCCCTAAATGTTGTACAGAGTTACACTGTGTGCCTTGTGGCCATCCATAACACATCCCCACTTGCTGAAACTGGTCTGAGCAATTTCCAGCCCTCAAATGCTTTTCACCACCTCCTGCTGGAGGTTAACACTTCTCCATATCTGCTGGTGGTTGTGTGTGATTGTTTAAGCGATTCTCTGACCTTCAGCAAGAAAAAGCAAAGGTTTAAAGTCATTAAGATCTTTTCTGGGCTATATTGGGATGTGCTTACCTGTCTCTCAGGCTGAATCGGCAGGGACCTCTGCCTGGGTCAGGGGCAGTGGAAGGAATACCCTCCCTTTTCATCAAATAGAGAATCACCACTGTGATAAAATAAGACTTTGTATTTGTATGATGTCAGAATTCACGTGGAAACATATATGTACATCATGTTTAGCACTTAAATTAACCACAGTAGTTGAAGAATGTTGTTTTTCTGCTTTTTAATTTCATGCACCCTATTTACTGGCATGTAAAGAAAAAGAAACTAGCTGCAGATTTGTGCTATCTTGCGTACTTCTCCTGTGTGTTTTCTCAATGGCTCTGCTCTTTGTAACTGATGATTGCCTCTCCTCAAAGTTAGGCATGAATCCTGCACAGATCTGCCTAGCTTTTACTGCAGGCATATCTCCATCTTACTCTGTGGCACTACCAGGAAGGGGGAATTAACAAGTACATGTTAACCACAGTAGAGTCATGGCCTCTTTAACCCCAGGGACACAAAAAAGGTTTAGAAATGAAAATACTGCTTAGCATGGCAAAAATGTCTTCCGGTTAGCTTTCTCAGTCGGAAGACTGTGGTGGTATGTGTGAACCTCGTGCATCGCGGCGGGCATGTCTTGCTGAAATTGCAGAAGTTCCTATTTTCACATCCCAGGTCAGGGAGGAAAGGAAATGCTTTTCTGCTGGTGGTATTTGTAACTTATTTTGGACTTAGCATCAGGTTATGTTTTCATGCCACTTGCTGCCATTTTAATTTAAAATTTAAGAACAGCATTTCCCCTGAAAAAACTTCGTTATGTTGACTCTGAGGGTGTTCCCTGTCAGCTCTGCAGTAATGACATCTGGGTTGAGAAGGCTCTCAACTTCATCTCAGGCTGTATTTCCAATGAAAAAAAAACTGGCCTTTGGCCTTAGAAGATACGCAGCTTGGAATATAGCTATTGCCTTGTACCGGAGCACCTTTAATTTATGCTCGGTGCGTTTGCTTTGTGCTGTGTCTGCAGCCGTGACTAGATGCAGGCAGCAATGCTAAGCAGAGGATGGAAGAGGCTTTGGGAATTAAGCCCTTGCAGATGAGCAGGTCAAAAGTAGAAGGGAACAAAACTCAAACTACCACTGGTTCTCCTGAGTTCTTTGCTGTACTTAACATGGGTTGATCTAATCTCTTAATGTGATGCTACAGTTGTCAAAAGCAGAGAGGAAACAATGTTGTATCTCTTGTAGGCACTGTTGCGGTGCTACTGGCTGGTATGCTGGATCTGGAAAAAGCATTTCTTCCAAGTGATGCACTTCAGAGCGTAGCCAAAATGAAATGAAGAAGCAGTTGCTACAATTCCCACAAACAGCTGTGAGAGGTTATCTGGAGCTCTGCTTAAAAACCTGTATAGCACACAAACAGTTCAAGATTTGCAGATCCCTGTAACCTTTATTGGAAGTAATCTTCTCTTTGCATGAGCAGGAATTCCCTGACTAGCATGCTTGGGGAGAGCAAAGGCCCATTTATTTCATACATTACTGCTGATTTTCTGGTAGGTTGTTTGGTGGGGGAGAATAGCTTGAGAATAGCTTGGAGAAATGTGGTTGTCCTTATTGTGTTGGACATTGACTTGAGGATGTGGTAGAAAGGAGCCTAGTAAAGTGGGGACAGACAGACTGTAAATCCCTTTTTTTTCTTTTTTTTTCTTTTATTTTTTCTTTTTTTTTCTTTTTTTTTTTCTTTTTTTTTTCCTGTGTGGATGCATTGGAAAAGGTCAACTCATGCTCCCAGCTGCTTTTGTTCCCTAACAAAGTACTAGTGGACAAACCCAGCAGTGTGTTTTACCACTTCTGAAATGTCTGAAACAAAGTTTTAATTAGCTTCCTTCTATATTTCTAAAGGTCCTTTTATCTGACTTTAACAAGAATGTATCAAGCCTCTGATATGGAAAACTTTGACATCTTTTCCCCCTAAAAGTCCTCATGAACCTCTGAAGCCCAGTGTGCTCTTATACGGGAAAGCTAAGATTTTGCGGGAGCTGTAACTCTTTAAAAAAAAAAGTAATGCTTTTCCTTTTTATACAGTGGGAAGAGATTGGTGAGGTGGATGAAAACTATGCTCCGATACACACATACCAAGTATGCAAGGTAATGGAACAGAATCAGAACAACTGGCTTCTGACCAGCTGGATCTCTAATGAAGGGGCATCCCGCATCTTCATTGAGCTCAAATTCACCCTGAGGGACTGTAACAGCCTTCCAGGAGGACTTGGAACTTGCAAAGAGACTTTTAACATGTATTACTTCGAATCAGATGATGAAGATGGGAGGAACATCAAAGAAAACCAATACATTAAGATCGATACCATTGCTGCTGATGAAAGCTTCACAGAGTTAGACCTCGGTGACAGAGTTATGAAGTTAAACACGGAGGTGAGAGATGTTGGGCCCCTAACAAAAAAGGGATTTTACCTTGCTTTCCAGGACGTGGGTGCCTGTATTGCCTTGGTCTCTGTCCGTGTGTACTACAAGAAATGCCCATCGGTGATCCGCAACCTGGCCCGCTTTCCTGACACCATCACAGGAGCGGATTCCTCGCAGCTGCTAGAGGTGTCAGGCATCTGCATCAATCACTCCGTGACCGACGAGGCACCGAAGATGCACTGCAGTGCTGAGGGGGAATGGTTGGTGCCCATCGGGAAGTGCTTGTGCAAGGCAGGGTATGAGGAGAAGAATAACACCTGCCAAGGTAAGAGTTTGCAGGAAGGGCGCTGTGCTGAGGCTGCCAAGATGATGTGCAGCCTTGGCTTTCTCTTCTTCCATGTCCTTCATGACAGGTTGAATTCACAATGGTGGGTCCGGTTCTTACTTCCACTAAGGTCCTTTGGATGACCGTGACAGCATGAAGAGAGGGGCCTTGCTGGGTTTAGTGGGACTTGACAGATGTACAGGTCCTCTGGTGCTTACAGGGCAGTGCACAAGGAGAATCTGGCATGCCACTATTATCTTTGGAGCACTGTTCTGTTGGGTCCATGAGATGATTGCAATCTTATCTGTTACTTAAAGCTTAACATTGGTTTTCCTCAGTATCAGAGTTTTCTTATGAATTTTAGAAGCTTAGTTTCTTTTTTTCTGGACTGCACCAGGGAATGTTTGAAGTTAATCTTCCTATGCAAGATGTTTTTTGCTTCTGTATTTAAAGGAGTATGTTTTTCTCTCTTTATCACTCTATGGAGGGGGTGGGAATTTGATATGATGGGAGTTGATTGATTTTCCTCTCTGGTAAATAGTTTAATACAAAGCTGCTCAGCTGTTCAGAGTTAAACCTAAAGCCTCACTAATAAAAATGCTTCCACATGTGCTGAAGTTTTCACACAACTAGCTGGTCAGCATAGGTCTCCTGAATCATTAGGGACCTTGTGCAGGTATCTGAAGTTTAGGACCTATAAAAGAATACCTTAAAAGATGTGCAACATACTCATAGGAGTGTGTGATCTCATTTTATGTTTTGTTGTATTACATACTTGTTTAAAAAATTTCCACCTCCATTGTAAATACGTAACAGGTAACTTAAAACCAATTTGTACATCGAAGGGGAAAGAAAAAAAGATTTCAATGCAACTTGCTTTTTGCAAAATTTATTATATGTTGATCATCAGTCCTGTCTTAATTGCCTTGTACTTGCAGCCACTTAGTAATAGATACTGTGGGGTAGGCAGAGGGATTTTGCTCCAACCAAAGCTGGTGTTGCATTTTCTCTCCACCTCACCCTGGGCACTTGCTATTTAGTGTTTGTAGTGTGGTGTAAAGGATAGATCATTGCATATCCAAAGCAAACTATGGCCTTGATCCCTTAGTCCTCAGTCACACACTGTGCCCCTGAAGAGTACTTAGTTCAAGTATCTTCAATGGTTGACTTGGAGAGAAAACATAGTTATGTTTGTATTTGGAGAAACTTGTAGTAAACAGAACATGGAGTGTGCTTTTTGACCAGGACAGTCGTCTTTTGCTGTAGATGTAGTCCATACAGCAAAATCTGACTTGGTTTTACTTTTCCTGTGCCAATAAAGGTACTTCTCCCATTTAGGGGGAACAAAGAGTCAGATTTGATGTTTGATACTGCACAAAGGAGCTAAGATCAACATTACCCCAAACTGAGGAAATTCAGACTGTCACAGATAAGGGATGTGGGTCAGAGAGATCAGCAAGAATCTGCTTCATTATGTCTAAAAGTACCATATCCCATAATAACATGCACTGGTTGGGTGTTATGTCTAGATGCTGACTTCAGTCACTGGTAAGAATTTTTGGAAGAAAGGAATACATCCATTGGTCACTTTTCAAATCCTGCCTTCCCGTGCTGCATGAGCAGCATGGGATATCTCAAAGCACTCTTAAAGATCTCAAAACCAAACAAAAACCAAAACACCAAAAAACCCACCCCCAAACCAAAAAACTGAAGTGGTTTAAACTAGAAACCTAAGACTATCTTTGAAGAGTCTACTGTGCCTGTAAAGTAGTTGGATCTCTGGTAGTGCTGAAATAGCAATCTCGGGTGTGCTTTCAGAAGACCTTAGTGATTTGAGGTTCTGCTTTCCATTTTGGGGTGTGAGTTGGTTTTTTAAATATATTTTTCTTAGTCAATTGGGAGAACAGCATCTGACCCCACAATTTATGGACTGTGTTGGACTGTGATCCTATTTTGGAAGCATGAAGATGCTTTGTGGTGGTGTACCCTTGCCCTCCTGCCATAATGCATAACCACATAAACTACTCCCGTAGTTCACCTACAGCCTGCACCCTTGGCAGGAGTTTATCACTACTTACTCTAGAGCTGTTAAAGCCCATAATTCTCCTTTGTAGAAAGCCCTAAATTCTATCACCAAGTCAATGGGACGTGGAGATCTGAGTACTGATGGCAAAGTCTGAGGGCCCCATTTGGATGTCCTGTGTTTAGCCTGGGTAATTGTGCCAAGCTTCAAGATGCTCAGTTGATAAGAGATGTTCAGCCTTAGGCCATTCAGGAGGTCTGCGTTAAGTATGCATGGATGGTTTGGATATTGTTATATTCCCAAGGATGAGATTTTTTTTTTTTCTAGGACAGTAAAGGTAAACTTTGCAGCCTGTAAGCATAATAAGTAACATCAGGAAAGGTCCTATGTGCTTGTAGATGCTGCTGCTTCCCTCCCCCCCCCCCCC